TACTTGTGTCAGGGACTCTTATTAAATACTAACAGGGACAAGTAAAATAAGTTACAAAATGACTAAGGAGAGGTCTGTGAACCCATAGAGACAGTTCATAAATGATCTTTGGTGAGGGGGATGAGGAGTAAGGTCTCAACTTTACTAATTCCTCAGAGATGGTGAGAAATCCCCAAGTTTTGGGAAATGGTGTTGGTAGTAGTAATTAAAGCTGATTCCAAGCACAATCTTCTATGTTGGTTTATATTCTTTGTTAACTAATCTCACTTCAGGGATATCCATCAGCAGTAACAGGTGTTTCAGTATACTGTCCATGGGTTGCTAGTGTTGTACCTTTGCCAAGGATATCTGTATTCCTTGATTCTAGCGTTTTAAGTCTCTGGAAGTTTCCTTCCATGTATGTTTATCACAGTTTCCACAAGCTATGATAATGACCCCTGCAGTGATATGTGCCTGTTTTTGGTCACTTTTTTTTTATGATGGCCTTCATGGTATTAGATTGTTTGCTAAGGTGTATGTTTGTAGTTAGCTAAGTGTTGACTAGGATACTGCCTGTTTGGTTAATCAGGAGTACTGTGTGTTTGCTATTGGTGGGCTCCAGTCTGGTGTTATGTAGACTTTAATGCTTTCATTTCACTGTTACAAAAGCTATTTCTTTTATAATAACTTTATTTTTTATGAAATTTGAAAACAATTCAGATAAATAACTTGTTAACTTCATTCATGAGACTTTACGTATTTTGATCTACCACTGTATTCATTTCAGTTTAGTTCAGTATCTATGTTGTGGTAAGGCATGGTAAATTATTCTTCATTTTTTTTTATGTAAAATGTTCTGTCCTGAGTCAGTAATCTCAGCAGTGTTTGTACACCTGAAGATGCAAATGATACGATGGTGAGGTCGTACAGGGGCAAATTATCAAAGTGATCTAATACAGTATAATTTTCTTGCTTCACTTGTGCTAGAAGACATGCCAGATCATGGTGAGTGTTCATAATCCCCTCTATACAACATATTTATCTAGTATTCCTTTTGTGTTTTGTAGAGTTATTTGTTAGTCTTTTTTTTGCACTGATTATTTTTGTGTGTTTAATAGTATATGTCATAAAATAGCAGAGTAAAAGATATTAAATGTAGTTGTAAGGACTTCACTGATACTGGCAAATTCTGCGCACAAGGGCTTACATGATAGATATATTACAACTAGCCTTATGACGTTCTTATATTTGCCAGATGGGTGAGAGTGTGAGTGCTCCCCACGGTATCAACCAGTGTACCTGAGAGGAGAGGTGTGGTTATTGAGCAAGCAGACATGTACAGCAGTGTCCTAGCCCCACTCATGGAGGAGGCTGAGAAGGAGGAGGCCAGGCAGAAGGAAAATCCAAGCCATAAAGGTAAACTTTTGTTTATTATTCAAATTCTGTACACAGCTTTAAACCCTTTCAGGGTCCAAGGCCAAAATCTGAAGTGGTGCTCCATTGTGTCCAAGAAATTTTGAAAAAAAAAAAAAAAAAAAATTTTCTTACAGAATTAGAGCATATTTTTGTGAAGGTAATAAGACAAAAAAAAAAATTCTGATCAGTACTTACCGAGATACAGTGCCAAGAAGTTTGTCAAAAATGATGTGGTGGCGGCAACATTGACGAATTCCACATACGCGCATTACATTATTTAGCGGTTTTTATAGTTTTTTCTTTTCTTTTCCAATTTTTTTCTATTCCTACTAACATTTGGGGCCTGAGAGACCAATACTGTATATAATGTATATATATAAACTCACTGTATTGAACACAATAACCACACTAAAGTTATTATCATTATTGTTTACCACTGTTGTTTATTACAATAAACATGCACAAATCTTGTATAATACTAATATTCTATCATATATTTAAAATATTTACAATCACTGGGACATGGTTTTAGAACTGCTGGAGCTTGTGGAACTCTTGAAACAAGGCACCAGCACAGAGGCCCCCTTACTTCCCTCACACATAAACCAGTGTCTTTTTTTCTTTGTTGCCGTCGTTTTGTTTGCACAGAAAAAGAAAATTCTTCTGGGGGCAAATTTTTCCTGATTGAAGGAAAAAATTTTATGAAATGAACCTTCCCTCCTAAAACGCGGGGGTTATTTTTCCTGATAATTCGAGGACCTTGTTTTTATAAAAAAAGGTGTTTTACCGGGTACTTATTATGAATTTTTTTGTCTGACAACAGAAAAACAAAAATTCCCCTACTGGTTTTGCTTTTTTTTTTGGAATATTTAAATGGCATTGAAATTCCATAATGGAAAAAATTAATTAACTTGAATTTACAACACAGTCAAAAACCCCAATTTTCATGTCAATTGTTAACCAATGCTTGTTTTGGGGATAACAATCACGCCTGGTTTTCAAAATTTTAAATTAGTCACCGACCCCCTTTGGGGGTCTTGCATTTATTATTGAAGGGAAAAAGGACACTTTTTGTCCCCCCGAACCAATGTCCCGGGTTTAACACCGACGTCATACCACGAGACCTGGTATGGGCTTGTTTACGATTAAAAACCCCTTGCCCACACATCGTCTTGTTCCCTCGCTTTAAATCACTAAATAATTTTGTAACTTTTATCTTTATTATTTCCCCTTACCAAAAATTTCCAATTTTTCCCACTACCACCAAAACCCAAACCTTTGGACTTTTTTTTAACCCCGGTTCCTTTCCCCCCGGCCCGTCACAGTCACAGAGTCCCAACGTTTATACCAAAGCTTTTCCTCTTGCTGGGTATAACTGTTTGAATGACAGTCACCTTTTGAACAAAATAAAAAACTCGTCAATTACAAGTTTCTGAAGGAAAAAATATATGTGAACTTTGTTTGGGTACTGAAAACATTTTAATCGTATAACCCGTCACTTTTGTAGGCCTGGTTTTTTCAGAGAATGAACATACGTAAGGTAAGTAAACCCCGTTCACTGGGATGATTTCACTGAAGACCGGGGTGAAAATTTGCCCATCTGTGGACCAGTATGTTTTAATTATGCTTATAGACATGAGGAAAAACATTATGTTGCAAAAAGCAAATACTTTCTGCAACAGTGTCTCTTTCCCCCCTTGTACTTACTGTGGTGTATGACATATTTGCCATGGTGTACTCAAAAAACTTATTACTTTCCCTGACAATAGTTTTCCCCAATGGCTGGTCAAAGAATAAATTTTTAAAGAATTCCAGTTCATTGGCCGTGGTTCCCAAGGGACAAGTAGGTAGAAATTTCCCTTGAGAGTCATCAAAGTGTGAGGCTTGGGAACAAAATTGGGATTTTTCTGCCAATCCCACCAAAATTTGCTGGTGGAACTGGACATCATGGCGGTTGTGCGGGTGGGTTTGGGTTGTGGTGGGTGGTGGGCTGCGCTCCGCCTTTGAACAAAGTAGCGCGTGGGGGCCCACCCTGGGGGGTGAGTCACGCATGGGGGGGCCCAAACCCTCACCACTAACACCATCCCTGATGCCGTGGTCTATCCATGCCAAGTGTAGCACTCCCTCACTATCACACCTAAAACTGGGTAGGGCCCCGGGATGTACTCCGGGGTGTACTCCTCCCTGGGGGCCAGCAAGGAAACACACCCGAGCGCAGCGGCGGGAAATACCGAAAGCTTCACGGGAATATGTTTTCCCCACTTTCACTACTCGAATGATCGCGAGTGCAATAAAACACAAACCAATCACTATCACATCATTTCGAATCAGAGGGGCCTGGCCATGCGAAAAAATTAGTTTTCTCTTTCGTTTTAGGGACAACGACCGTGGGCAGAGTGCCCACACCCGAGGGAGAAGGTTAGGACGTCAGGGTTTTCTGCATATTATCAATATCCTGGTCATTCCTTTCGGGATCTGATCAAAACCGAGAATTTGCTTTATTTTCCCTTCCATCAGTGTCAAATACGATGGAAGAGGAGAGTCCCCAAATTTTTTGGGGGGTAAGCTGACTTGCGCGAGGCGGGGGGAACAAAGGGGAACTGAGCCCGGGGTTCCCCCCCAAAACTGTGCAGGCGCCTAATTTTTTTTTTATGGCGCACACCCACCAGCAGACCCCTTCCTCAAGTAGGCCTATGAGCGCTTTGCGCTAAAATTTGACAGCGCAGAATTTTGGCGTAGATCTAATTTTGGACACTCAACGTAACCTAGTCTACGGGACGGACCCCGAAAAGGGTTAAAAAGTACCATACGGATATTTTTAACACGGGGGTTTCCCACCCAAAGGAGTGACTCAAAGAAGGAAACACATTAACCTTCTTCATTTCCCCTAACTCTTTTTTTTTTTCTAGAAGTTCACAGCCTTCATAATTTATATTTGAAAGACATTGTATATTTACCACTATGGTATTAATTTTTTCTTATATAAAGAAAGATACCACTGGAGTAAATTATAATAAGAGAGAGAGAGAGAGAGAGATTTTCTTTTTAATCAGAAGAGTGTTTTACTGTACTATATAAATCAGTGTTACTGTATTGACTTCTTAAGAAAATTTTAATGGAATGAAAATTAAGAATTCATCTTTAAATAGAATGATGTGCCATAGTATGTGCGGTATAAGATGAGTATGGCAAAAGCCCTAAGAAATAAGTGCAACAGTGACTCCAAACATTCATCATGCATTACTAATATATGAAATGTTTACATTAGTTATCAAGTTGAAATTAGGTTTATTGCTTCCTCATGAATATAATAATGTATCTGCAGGTGGATGTGAGAAAAATGTATCACCTAGGATAGTAGTGGGTGTGGTAATTGAGTACACACGCTCTCTGGGTGCTGTCGGAGTGACTGTTCAACATTTTCTCTATGAGTTGGTAATTAATGCTCTGGTGCGAGCGCATCAATTCTACCAGCTACACCAGCTTCTCCAGTACCATGTTTTGGCTGACTCAAAACCTTTGGTTAGTGTTTTATTAATGTTTTCTCTTATAAACTTTTAGCTTCCTACCTCAGTTATTTATGTTATGGTATTATACTGAGAATATTGAATAGTGTGTAAAGGTAGAAAGTTGAAAGTGAACATAGATAAGAGTAAGGTGATGAGGGTATCAAATGATTTAGATAAAAAAAAAATGGATATTACATTGGAGAGAAGGTGTATGGATGAAGTAAATGTTTTCAGATGTTTGGGAGTTGATGTGTCAATGGATGGGTTTATAAAGGATGAGGTTAACCATAGAATTGATGAGGGTAAAAAAAGGCGAGTGGTGTATTGAGGTGTATGTGGAGACAAAAAATGTTATCAATGGAGGGAAAAAAAAGGGAATATGTATATGAAAGTATAGAGGTATCAACATTTTTATATGGGTGTGAAGCTTGGGTTGTAAATGCTGCAGTGAGGAGGCAGTTGGAGGCAGTGGAGATGTCGTGTCTAAGGGCAATGTGTGGTGTAAATATTATGCAGAGAATTCGAAGTGTGGAAATTAGGAGGTGTGGAGTTAATAAAAATATTAGTCAGAGGGCTGAAGAGGGGTTGTTGAGGTGGTTTGGTCATTTAGAGAGAATGGTTCAAAGTAGAATGACATGGAGAGCATATCAATCTGTAGAGTAAGGAAGGCGGGGTAGGGGTCGTCCTCATGGAGGGAGCGGGTAAAGGAGGTTTTGTGGGCGAGGGGCTTGGACTTCCAGCAACCATGCATGAGCATATTAGATAGGAGTGAATGGAGACGAATGGTTTTTGGGACCTGACAAGCTGTTGGAGTGTGAGCAGGGAAATATTTAATGAAGGGATTCAGGGAAGCCGGTTATTTTTATATAGCTGGACATGAGTTCTGGAAATGGGAAGTACAATGCCTGCACTCTAAAGGAGGGGTTTGGGATATTGGCAGTTTGATGGGATGTGTAATAGGACAGTATATATATAATTGGGATCCTGATATTGTTTATTTCAGGTCACTTTTTATATTGTATCTTTATATATGCTTCTAAACTGTTGTATCTGAGCACCTCTGCAAAAACAGTGATTATGTATGAGTGAGGTGAAAGTGTTGAATGATGATGAAAGTATTTTCGTTTTGGAGATTTTCTTTCTTTTTGGGTCACCCTGCCTCGGTGGGAGACGGCCAACTTGTTAAAAAAAAAAATTGACATCATGTTTAGTCATCATACATTCATATTTTATTTTTATTATCACACTGGCCGATTTCCACCAAGGCAGGGTGGCCTGAAAAAGAAAAACTTTCACCATCATTCACTTCATCACTGTCTTGCCAGAAGGGTGCTTTACACTACAGTTTAAATTGCAACATTAACACCCCTCCTTCAGAGTGCAGGCACTTTACTTCCCATCTCCAGGACTCAAGTCCGGCCTGCCGGTTTCCCTGAACCCCTTCATAAATGTTACTTTGCTCACACTCCAACAGCACGTCAAGTATTAAAAACCATTTGTCTCCATTCACTCCTATCAAACACGCTCACGCATGCCTACTGGAAGTCCAAGCCCCTCGCACACAAAACCTCCTTTACCCCCTCCCTCCAACCTTTCCTAGGCCGACCCCTACCCCGCCTTCCTTCCACTACAGACTGATACACTCTTGAAGTCACTCTGTTTCGCTCCATTCTCTCTACATGTCCAAACCACCTCAACAACCCTTCCTCAGCCCTCTGGACAACAGTTTTGGTAATCCCGCACCTCCTCCTAACTTCCAAACTACGAATTCTCTGCATTATATTCACACCACACATTGCCCTCAGATATGACATCTCCACTGCCTCCAGCCTTCTCCTCACTGCAGCATTCATATATAGAAATGAAAAGATATCGCTTTTGAAGCGGGAAGTTTGCCGTGATGCTAATAAAAGTTCCTGACCCAAGGAATTGGATTTGTTCTCTTCCTAAGATCAAACCTGATTGCCTCCCATTTCCCAGCTGCTGTATGAGCCTAATAAGTTTAGCACTTCTCTGTAAATATACAGTAGACCATTAGTTAATACATAATCTTTTAGCACTTCTTCACATTCATACAGTTGTAAAATTGTGGCATATTTTTGGTGAACATGCCATATTAATCACTTTACATGGTAGAATCTGTCAGTCACTCACCATCCCAAATCAATGAGGGAAAAGGGTCTGTCTTTCTTTCTGGTTTGTCTGCACCTTCTGTACCTGTTTGTGAGTTTAGCTCCATGAGGGTGTCATGTCCAGGACAGGTGTGAGTGTGGTGGCAGATGGAATTGTGGGAATAACAAATGTGTGGTTGACACTGTCCACACTTACCACAGACCATTATCTAGGCTAAAATTTTCTGCTTACAGCTTGTCTGAGTGAGCTGATCTCATGACATAGATGGCATGGAATGTAACTCAATTTTTCCCATAAGTTGCTCACTCCACCTGTTGTATTTTCTGAAGCATAACTCGAACAAAAGGTAGTTGTCTACCTTGTCTTTCTCTTTGTGTATTATTTACCTCAATGTTCAAATAAACATTTTTAAGGTTTGTTTTTAAATGTTATAAAAAAAAATGTCCTGTCAGTATTTAGTGAGAATTTGTCAGTTGTCATCAAGTAGAAATATTTACAAGGTCATTATTATTCATGTTGAGGACAAATGGGTCTGTATTTCAGATAATGGTAGTTGTAACTCCTGTAAATACAACTAGTAGGAAGGCATACTGATGTAAATGAGAAAAATTAAAGAGCCTTAGATGCTGCCCTGAATACTCTTTATGTTGATAGGTCAAGTTGACGAAGAATTATCATTAAAGGTCACAAGTTTGTGTCTATTATTAAGGTAAAACTTTATTTATAATACAGTACAAGTTTTATTTCTTTATGTTGTACAACTAATATACTTTACATGTAGTAAAACATTGGTAGGCACAAAAGAAAGCCACTAATGTGCTATGCATTTCAGATAAACTAACCCTAATGCTTAAATGTTATTTAAGATTTAGATATAGACTATTAGTAGTATTTCTTATGGACTCATATGTACAGTAAGAAAGGTAACTAATGAACAAATGGTACAATTTCAAAAGTATGATTTATTATTTCAAATTGATTCAGTGATCTTCAGTTTTGTGGAGTGATTGAATAGAGATGGTGAAGACACAGCAAGTTACTTAGGTAGTTACAGTAGAAGTACAATAGGACAAGATGTGTATTTAAAAGCATGACCGGATTTTCTCATTATGATGGTAGGTTATGTGTAATTCCTTTAAATCAGGCCTGTCTGCTGTTGTCTCTTGTTGGTGTTTATTCTGCTGGGCAGCAGCTGAGCCTGGACATGTTGTGTCGCCTTAACACAGCTCACGATGAGATTATTGAAGTGCTACTCTCTCAGCACCAGGTCACCCCAGCACTCAGGTGAGTGCTGCCTATTACTTTAATATTCTTTATTCCTTTAGGAAATTTGTTAGCCGATTTGCATAAAGTGTTCTTTCATTTTTGGGCGGTCTTTTTTTTTTTTTTTTACCTTTGTCAGTTTATATATAAGGAGGAACCTACAGTAATTGTCTGTAACGTATTGTCAGATAAATAAGGGTCATTACACTGTGTCTTAGGCCACAGCTAGACTATTTTTTAATACATTAATACATTACTTATATATTAGACGTGAATATAATGCAGAGAATTCGTAGTTTGGAAGTTAGGAGGAGGTGCGGGATTACCAAAACTGTTGTCCAGAGGGCTGAGGAAGGGTTGTTGAGGTGGTTCGGACATGTAGAGAGAATGGAGCGAAACAGAATGACTTCAAGAGTGTATCAGTCTGTAGTGGAAGGAAGGCGGGGTAGGGGTCGGCCTAGGAAGGGTTGGAGGGAGGGGGTAAAGGAGGTTTTGTGTGCGAGGGGCTTGGACTTCCAGCAGGCATGCGTGAGCGTGTTTGATAGGAGTGAATGGAGACATATGGTTTTTAATACTTGACGTGCTGTTGGAGTGTGAGCAAAGTAACATTTATGAAGGGGTTCAGGGAAACCGGCAGGCCGGACTTGAGTCCTGGAGATGGGAAGTACAGTGCCTGCACTCTGAAGGAGGGGTGTTAATGTTGCAGTTTAAAAACTGTAGTGTAAAGCACCCTTCTGGCAAGACAGTGATGGAGTGAATGATGGTGAAAGTTTTTCTTTTTCGGGCCACCCTGCCTTGGTGGGAATCGGCCAGTGTGATAATAAAAAATAAAAATTATATATTAGAGCTATAACGATTTGAAGGAGGGGTGTTAATGTTGCAGTTTAAAAACTGTAGTGTAAAGCACCCTTCTGGCAAGACAGTGATGGAGTGAATGATGGTGAAAGTTTTTCTTTTTCGGGCCACCCTGCCTTGGTGGGAATCAGCCAGTGTGTTAATAATAATAATAATAATAAAAAAAGTTATTCTGTTATTCCTTGTAAAGGAATGTTTGTTGAAGATATTTATCACAATTAGGTTAAAAATATTGAAAAATGATGTAGGTTGTTCTCAAGGTTGACATGTTCTCACTTGCTCTTACATTTACCTAAATTTGTGTAAACTGTGGAAGGTGATTTGAATTTGTTATATACCTTGGAAAGTTAAGAGAGGTAGATACACAGTGAGTGACAATAATTTTTTTTAACACTCCAGCTATTTCCCACTAAGGTAAGGCAACCTGACAAAGAAGAAAACACCTTCATTGTCTTACCAGAAACACACCTCGTAATAATTCAAATGACCCTCCAAATTGCAACATCCCCACCTCTCCTTCAGAATGCAGGCACTGTACCTTGCTAACACTCCAGCATCATGTTAAATCATAAAAACCACATCCTGTTGGATGTTGCAGCCCCTAGCACTCTAAACTTCCTTTACCTCTCTCCCTTCAACCCTTCCTTTACCCCCCTCTCTTCAACCCTTCCTTTACCCCTCTCCCTTCAACCTTTCCTTTACCCCTCTCCCTTCAACCCTTCCTTTACCCCCCTCCCTTCAATCCTTCCTTCCCTCCATCCAGATTTGTACACCCTCTTTATTCTATTTTTCTCCCTCTCTCAATGTTCATACTACCTCAACAACCCCTTCTCAGCCCTCTGAATTATACTCTTGGTATGTAATTGGTATTGTGACTGTCATTCTCAGAGCTGGGGAAGCTTGGTGTTATCTATACACAAATAACCCACACATAGAAGAGAGGAGCTTACAACGACGTTTCAGTCCGACTTGGACCATTTACAAAATCGGACCGAAACGTCGTAGTAAGCTCCTCTCTTCTATGTGCAGGTTATTTGTGTATCGTTCCAGTCATGGTATTGTGCCTTTTTTTGTTATTTATTGGTGTTATTTGCACAGCTTCAGAGCTGGATAAGCTTGGTGTCACTGACACAGCTTCAGAACTGAGGGAGCTTGTAATTCTACACAGGTGTAGAATTACAATCTCAAGTAGATATATTTTGTTAGGCACTTTGGAAGTTCCGAAGTGATGTAGGAGTTGCTTAGGTAGCAGGGTATAGCTGCAAATAGCAGAACAGGAGTAGGCTATACATGACTGATTACAGAAAGTAGAGGGGAGCCAGGACCAGGTCATGGGACATGGATATATAATCAGAGTAAAAGTCAGCCAGTTGGATGAGTGACCCAGAAAAGCATTTTAAGCTGCGGTCAGCACAAGGGGTCACATTCCCAAAGCCCACAGGAGTCATATCTTAGCGGGGAACTTGAAATGATTCAGGAACATGCAACTAGTATTGCTGTGATAGGTTGGATTTGTTTGTAAATATGGGATAACTTAATATGTGTTTGCATTACTGTGGTGTCGTGAAGAATAAGTCACAATACCATGGTGGGAACAATTTACTGTTAGCCCACAGTTTGGGGAGGAAACTTTAAGCAACATTTTCAGTCCAGTATAATTTGATATATTCTCATCTTTCCCCTCAAATTGTGGGTTTGCAGGATAATATGGTACCCTGGGTTGGTAGAACTGCTGTCTTAATGAGCTGTATGCACCGATCACCCTGGTGGAGTGGTACATAAACTAAGAGAAAGGAGGAAAAAAAAAAAGAAAATATGAATGCGGGATTGGTCTCAGAAAATTCTATTCAGAATTTTTTTTTTTAATCCATATAGGTGGTGCACAGTTATTAATTTTGTTTGTGTTTTTTATTACACAGGTATGCTCGGAGTGTGGGACTCGGAGAGACAGTGTCAGCTCGTAAATTTCTGGAGGCTGCCATGGTGAGTGGCAACCCACAGGTGTTTTACTCCACCTTTACCTTTTTTGTGCTTCGCAACACAAGACTTCGTGGCAGTGCAACTTTTGCTAAAGGTGGGAAATAAGTACTCATCACCAATATAATTCTACTTATTATATTTGGTCATGTTATCCCTAATGCTAACTCCTGTTCATACCTTTCAAAGATAAGACATTCAATACTTGCTTGTACACAATTAACAGCACTGAGTGACTTGTGAATTTTCACAGTTTTCATGAATACAGTTGGTATCTCACTTTGACATTAATTTGTTCCTGAAAATTGTTTGTGAGTAGTGTTTGAAACTCAGAACCTATTTTCCTATAGACACACATGCTGTAATCACTAAAGTGTCTTCTTTACTCAAGAAATTGTAATGACACGATTGCAAACAAACCATACCCCCGGCTGGGATTGAACCCGCGGTCATAGAGTCTCAAAACTCCAGCCCGTCGCGTTAGCCACTAGACCAGCTAGCCACAATAAGATTCATCTTATTGTGGCTAGCTGGTCTAGTGGCTAACGCGACGGGCTGGAGTTTTGAGACTCTATGACCGCGGGTTCAATCCCAGCCGGGGGTATGGTGTGTCTTCTTTCTTTCTTTCAACATACCAGCCATATCCCACCGAGGTGGGGTGGCCCAAAAGGAAAAACAAAAGTTTCTCCCCATGCTCCTGGCATTTCAGTTGCCTCTTACGATACGCATGGCTTATGGAGGAAGAATTCTGTTCCACTTCCCCATGGACATAAGAGGAAATAAACAAGAATAAGAACTAGAAAGAAAATAGCAGAAAACCCAGAGGGGTGTGTGTGTATATATATGCTTGTACATGTATGTGTAGTGTGACCTAAGTGTAAGTAGAAGTAGCAAGACATACCTGAAATCTTGCATGTTTATGAGACAGACAAAAGACACCAGCAATCCTACCATCATGTAAAACAATTACAGGCTTTCATTTTACACTCGCTTGGCAGGAAGGTAGTACCTCCCTGGGCGGTTGCTGTCTACCAACACTACCTGTTTATAAATTCAAGTTTCTTCTCAAAGTTCACTTACTCACTCAAAACCAAATAAATACTGAATAACTGAACCTTATAAATTGTATATCCAAAATGTTACTCACAATTATATCACATAAATGTTAAACCTATGACCCAGTCTAACTTTGTTATTTTTTTAAATACACTACCTAACAGAATACTCCATTCTACTGAATGAACAGCAATGCATGCAACCATATGACCTGTCTTTGTAATACTCATTTGTGCTTTATAGTTATCTGTTTACAATAATGTCTTATCACTGATTTCATCATTGCTTAGTTAATCTTAAGTTAATTTTAAGCCAGCCCGTAATGCTATGCATATAAGTGGCTTTGGCATGCTGCTCTTACCTGTATTTTTTTTGTACCTCTGTATGTATGCTAAAATTTCTAACTAAATAAATAAATAAATAAATAAATAAATAAATAAGGTGTCTGTCACATACTCATACATTGGAACCTCAAAAATCGAACTGCTCCCAACACAACCAATTATGTAAGTGTATTTTTGTAAGTGCTTTTATAAGTGTATTTTTGAGGGTCTGAAATGGACTAATCTAATTTACATTATTCCTGATGTGAATAAATTCATTCGGTAAAGGCACTCGAACAGCTTTCTGGACCGAAAAAAGTTCGATATTTGAGGTTCCACTGTACATGACTGACACACTAGTACAGCCTCTCCTCACTTAACGACGGAGTTCCGTTCCTAAGATAACGTCGGTAAATGAATTCATCGCTAAGTGAGGCGCATACTATAATGGTACAGTTTGTGTCATCTATCTTTGATATTGTTTTAATGTCACCTTTGTACCATATATAAGATTTGTGGTATACTTTTAAATTTTATACAGTAGTGTACTGTATTTTTTTTTTATTATCACACCGGCCGATTCCCACCAAGGCAGGGTGGCCCGAAAAAGAAAAACTTTCACCATCATTCACTCCATCACTGTCTTGCCAGAAGGGTGCTTTACACTACAGTTTTTAAACTGCAACATTAACACCCCTCCTTCAGAGTGCAGGCACTGTACTTCCCATCTCCAGGACTCAAGTCCGGCCTGCCGGTTTCCCTGAATCCCTTCATAAATGTTACTTTGCTCACACTCCAACAGCACGTCAAGTATTAAAAACCATTTGTCTCCATTCACTCCTATCAAACACGCTCACGCATGCCTGCTGGAAGTCCAAGCCCCTCGCACACAAAACCTCCTTTACCCCCTCCCTCCAACCCTTCCTAGGCCGACCCCTACCCCGCCTTCCTTCCACTACAGACTGATACACTCTTGAAGTCATTCTGTTTCGCTCCATTCTCTCTACATGTCCGAACCACCTCAACAACCCTTCCTCAGCCCTCTGGACAACAGTTTTGGTAATCCCGCACCTCCTCCTAACTTCCAAACTACGAATTCTCTGCATTATATTCACACCACACATTGCCCTCAGACATGACATCTCCACTGCCTCCAGCCTTCTCCTCGCTGCAACATTCATCACCCACGCTTCACACCCATATAAGAGCGTTGGTAAAACTAAACTCTCATACATTCCCCTCTTTGCCTCCAAGGACAAAGTTCTTTGTCTCCACAGACTCCTAAGTGCACCACTCACTCTTTTTCCCTCATCAATTCTATGATTCACCTCATCTTTCATAGACCCATCCGCTGACACGTCCACTCCCAAATATCTGAATACGTTCACCTCCTCCATACTCTCTCCCTCCAATCTGATATTCAATCTTTCATCACCTAATCTTTTTGTTATCCTCATAACCTTACTCTTTCCTGTATTCACCTTTAATTTTCTTCTTTTGCACACCCTACCAAATTCATCCACCAATCTCTGCAACTTCTCTTCAGAATCTCCCAAGAGCACAGTATCATCAGCAAAGAGCAGCTGTGACAACTCCCACTTTGTGTGTGATTCTTTATCTTTTAACTCCACGCCTCTTGCCAAGACCCTCGCATTTACTTCTCTTACAACCCCATCTATAAATATATTAAACAACCACGGTGACATCACTGTACTGTATATTGTAACAAAAAGAATTGAGGAAATCACCTCTAATATACATTATTTAGGCATGCATACTGGTCAGAGAGCCCGTCATAAGTCTGAGGTGTCGGTAAACAAGTACAGTGGTACCTCAGGATACCAAATTAATTTGTTCCAGAAGCCTTTTCAAGTGCTGATACCAAACAAATTTGTTCCCATAAGGAATAATGTAAATTATATTAATCCATTTCAGACCCCCAAAAATACACTTACACAAGCAATTACATAAATACACTTACATAATTGTTTGAGTTTTGAGCTGTTCGTATCCCGAGGTACCACTGTCCATCGCTAAGTGAGGAGAGGCTATATATGCATAAGTATACATTTCCATTTGCATACCCGAAAAAAATTGTATGTAAATACAGTAGAACCCTTGTATCCATTGATTTGGTATCCATGGTTTCAATTATCCATGGTTTACTGTGGCACAAAAATACCTCTAAATTTTGCATAATAGTGGCCCCCAAAGCACAAAAGTATAAAAGCTGGCACTTCTTCAAAGCCTAAGAGAAGCTGTGAAGTGCTTCCCATGAAAAAGTGATAATTCTCAGCTTATTGTGCATAATTTATCAATTAAACTTTATAATAGGTATGTATAAGACTTATATACATGTATAGGGTTTGCTACTATCCACAGTTTTGGTATCCACGGCAGGTCCTTGGAACACATCTCCCATGACAACACTCTAATTACCAGAAATAATGGGGGCAAATTCCTAGGCTTATACCTTGACAACAACCTGAAATTTCAGCACCCATATCCAGCATATAACCAAAAAAGTATCCAAAACGGTTGGGATCCTCTCCAAGATACGAAACTACGTGCCGCAAAATGCCCTTCTCACACTATACCACTCACTTATTTATCCATACCTCACCTATGCTATTTGTGCTTGGGGATCAACTGCAGCAACACACCTAAAGCCAATAATAACCCAACAAAAAGCTGCAGTAAGAATAATCACTAAATCCCATCCCTGGCAACACACCCCCCCACTCTTCATAGACCTAAACTTACTCCCTGTTCAGTACATCCACACTTACTACTGTGCAATCTACATCTACAGGGCCTTAAACTCTAATATCAACCTTGACCTAAAATGCTTTCTTGATAGTTGTGACAGAACCCACAGGCATAACACCAGACACAAACATCTCTACGACATTCCCCGTGTCCGACTAAACCTTTACAAAAATTCAATGTATGTCAAAGGCCCTAAAATCTGGAATACCCTACCTGAGAACTCTAGAACTGCAGACACATTCATCACCTTCAAAACTACCATTAGAAAACATCTTATCTCCCTGATACACCCTGTCAACTAACTATACGAATACCACCTGGTGGTTCACACTTACACTCACCGACTCATTTGACCATAAACAGAAATATTAATCTCAATCTTAAAAGAATGAATCCTGTGATACTTCAATACTGAAACTATGTACTGTGCCAAAACAAAAGCATTCACATTGCTAAACTCACAAACTAGTATTTAGTCACTTAGCCATAATACCAACTTACCTCATAATTTGTAATATTTTACAATTAAGAATAAAACTAAGTCTGCCCGAAATGCCTAGCCATGCTAAGCGTTCTAGTGGTACACTCTGTAATCACTATTTTACTACATATAAACCACACAATAACCAAATTTCTGTAAACTCAGCATTGTAATCCTTATAGAGAATAAACTTTGAATTTGAATTTGAAAAAATGAATATGGGGGTCCTACCATACACAGATATGCATTCATAGGCATATATTCATACACACATGTATACATATAAAACTTAAAATACATATAGAAATTCACATGCTCAAAAACACACACATATGCATATTTTTTATATTTTACTGCTGTTGAATTTTATGACCACCCTTCACTGTTCTTGAGGTAGATGAGGCTGGAATTATGGAATGTGGGGATACAATTCTCGGATCACAAAGTAACCCAAATACATCTAGCTATATAAATGATAGTACAGTGGTGGTACCTCAGGATACGAACAGCTCAAAAATCGAACAATTATGTAAGTGTATTTATGTAAGTGCTTTTGTAAGTCTGAAACAGATTAATCTAATTTACAATATTTCTTATGGGAACAGATTCGTTTGGTATCGGCGCTCGAGCAACCTTCTGGAACAAATTAAGTTCGTATCCCGAGGTACCACTGTATCTGATTATTTAAAAAATATTCCTCTTCCTTACAGTATAATGAGTATAATGTGTATGAATATCTTCATACTATTTTATGTACTGTAAGAGCTCTTTATGTTGATAAAGGGATAACGAATAACAAAGGGTAGTAGAGTGTTTTCTGCTTAACATATCTACCTTACTGTTGCAGGTGAACACTGTGATGTTTATGTTGAACATTATAAGAAGCTGTTTGGTGATGTTCCTGAATATGGAACTCTGCAGTCCTAGAGCAAGCATGGCCAAGACATCATTAATAAGAAATTCTATAAAATAATTTACTTGGTTAATATATATGTTTCTCAATTTACAGTAAGATTAATTTTTTAAAAAATAGAGGGTCTTTAATTTAATTTCTGTTTATCAACACATAGTTACTTATTTGTATTATTGCTTGATCTTTGTAGGTCACAATTAAAAATCCTCTCTGTTTGCTTGGTTTTTGTACATATCCTTCAATTATCTCATTTTCACATTATGTACTCTGTATATCACCAATGGAGTAAGAGGTAAGGAAGGAAGTCTAGAATACACCCAGTATTAAGTAGGTGTATTATATGAGGCATTGCATGGCAGAAAAGAACAAGATGATTCTTTAATATGTCATCTTTTTGTGGGAATGTGTAGATATTGTCTTCTACATCTGTAAGTTAGGCACACAGCCCATAACAAAGTATGGTAACTTAAGTGTCATAGTTCTAATCTCCCCTATACCTGGTTTTTTCTCCGTTGTTTGAACATGGCGCATATTCTTTTCTGCCATGCAACGCCTCATATACTCTATCAGAGAACACTATAATAACATCTGAGGTCCGTAACTCTTAACCTTTTCAGTGTCTCCCATGTAAACCTACATTATTGAGAAAAATGTTGCTTGTGTAGATCTATGTATATATTCAGGTGGTCTCAAATTTGGCATGAGAGGACTGGTAGGCTTAAACATGAGAAAACAGGTCTGTACAGATAGTGTGCACAGTATACAAAAATTGAGGCAGCTCCTTTGCATTGTGGGAATACCATCTTTACCATTGGCCACCATGCCATGTTACTCTCACTCCTTTCCCCTAGTTAAAGATTAAAGATTTTTTCAGCATGATACAATGTTTGTACAGAGGTGGGTGACATTTAGGTGTGCATTCAGAAAGCCCCTTTGTATGCCGAGCATTTCGGGCAAACTTAGGCCTATCTTAAGACTAATAAATCAATAATTAATTGTTTGCTTCTATATACGATCTCAAAGTGGTTGTAACAATATGATGGTGGTTCTTCCATTGACATGGGCAGTATTGATTACACTGTTAGTACGGGTAATGTGTGGTATACAATGGGTGGTGATACGTACACAGTACAAGGTAATGGGCCCTCGTGGGTCACAACACTTACTGGAAAATGTAAAAAATTAGAAGACTCCAGAAAAAGTGAAAAAAAAAAAATGAAAATAAAATAATACAGTGCATGGTAATAACCAATGTTGCCATCAGAGGGTCATGAATCTACAACTTTACACCAGAAAGTTGTCTTCATCATCAACTGACGTAGACATAACCAAATGTAAACTTTGCCAGATGTACTATCATTACACCTTGCATCATTGTGTGCTGAAATGTGATAAAATGAATTCAGAGACAACTCACTCGGAAATATTCAAGAAATGTCAAAGTATTTTATCCACAGTGGCATATTACCATCCATTTTGGAAATACCCTGACTTTGCCCACTGTACATAACATATAACCACTTAAACATGTTTAAATTCACACACTTTTTTTTTTTCAACGCTCCAGCCATCTCCCACTGAGGCAGGGTGACACAAAAAAGAAAACCTTTCACTATCATTCAACACTTTCACCATCATTTACACATAATCACTGTCTTTGCAGAGGTACCCAGATATGACAGTTTAGATGTTGCTCCAAACAACCAATATCCCAAACCCCTCCTTGAAAATGCAGGCATGTACTTCCCACCTCCAGGACTTAAGTCTGACTAACAGGTTTCCCTGAATCCCTTCGCAAAAATATTACCCTGCTCACACTCCAACACTCGTCAGGTCCCAAAAACCATTTGTCTCCATTCACTCCTATCTACGTTCACACATGCCTACTGCATGTCCAGGCCCCTTGCACACAAAACCTTTTACCCCCTCCCTCCATCACACATTTTTGTTTTTTTCAACACATCGACCGTTTCCCACCGAGGTAGGGTGACCCCCCAAAAAAAGAAAAACCTAAAAAATAAGAAAAAAATTTCATCATCATTCACACTTTCACCATCATTCATACATAATCATTGCCTTTGCAGAGGCACTCAGATACGACAGTTTAGAAGTCCCTCCAAACTGCCAATATTCCAAACCCCTCCTTCAAATTCCAGGCATTGTACTTCCCATTTCCAGGACTCAAGTCTGGATAACTGGTTTCCCCTAAATTCCTTCACAAAATATTAACCTGCTCACACTCCAACAGCTTGTCAGGTCCCAAAAACCATTTATCTCCATTCACTCCTATCTAACACACTCATGCTTGCTAGAAGTACAGACCCCTCGCCCACGAAACCTCCTTTACCCCTTCCCTCCCTCCTTTTTGAGGACCCCTACCCCGCCTTCCTTCCCCTACAGATTTATACGCTCTCCAAGTCATTCTACTTTGTTTCCTTCTCTCTAAATGAACAAACCACCTCAATAACCCCTCTTCAGCCCTCTGACTAATACAGTGGACCCCCGGTTAACGATATTTTTTCAATCCAGAAGTATGTTCAGGTGCCAGTACTGACCGAATTTGTTCCCATAAGAAATATTGTGAAGTAGATTAGTCCATTTCAGACCCCCAAACATACACGTACAAACGCACTTACATAAATACACTTACATAATTGGTCACATTCGGAGGTAATCGTTATGCGGGGGTCCACTGTACTTTTAGTAACTCTACACCTCCTAATTTCCATGCTCCAAATTTTTTGCGTAATATTTACACCACACATTGCTCTGGAGTATCTGAGAGAGTTAGAGCAAAGGAAGGGGTAGCAGTAATGTTAAATGATCAGTTATGGAAGGAGAAAAGAGAATATGAATGTGTAAATTCAAGAATTATGTGGATTAAAGTAAAGGTTGGATGCGAGAAGTGGGTCATAATAAGCGTGTATGCACCTGGAGAAGAGAGGAATGCAGAGGAGAGAGAGAGATTTTGGGAGATGTTAAGTGAATGTATAGGAGCCTTTGAACCAAGTGAGAGAGTAATTGTGGTAGGGGACCTGAATGCTAAAGTAGGAGAAACTTTTAGAGAGGGTGAGGTAGGTAAGTTTGGGGTGCCAGGTGTAAATGATAATGGGAGCCCTTTGATTGAACTTTGTATAGAAAGGGGTTTAGTTATAGGTAATACATATTTTAAGAAAAAGAGGATAAATAAGTATACAAGATATGATGTAGGGCAAAATGACAGTAGTTTGTTGGATTATGTATTGGTAGATAAAAGATTGTTGAGTAGACTTCAGGATGTACATGTTTATAGAGGGGCCACAGATATATCAGATCACTTTCTAGTTGTAGCTACACTGAGAGTAAAAGGTAGATGGGATACAAGAGAATAGAAGCATCAGGGAAGAGAGAGGTGAAGGTTTTATAAACTAAAAGAGGAGGCAGTTAGGGTAAGATATAAACAGCTATTGGAGGACAGATGGGCTAATGAGAGCATAGGCAATGGGGTCGAAGAGGTATGGGGTAGGTTCAAAAATGTAGTGTTAGAGTGTTCAGCAGAAGTTTGTGGTTACAGGAAAGTGGGTGCAGGAGGGAAGAGGAGCGATTGGTGGAATGATGATGTAAAGAGAGTAGTAAGGGAGAAAAAGTTAGCATATGAGAAGTTTTTACAAAGTAGAAGTGATGCAAGGAGGGAAGAGTATATGGAGAAAAAGAGAGAGGTTAAGAGAGTGGTGAAGCAATGTAAAAAGAGAGCAAATGAGAGAGTGGGTGAGATGTTATCAACAAATTTTGTTGAAAATAAGAAAAAGTTTTGGAGTGAGATTAACAAGTTAAGAAAGCCTAGAGAACAAATGGATTTGTCAGTTAAAAATAGGAGAGGAGAGTTATTAAATGGAGAGTTAGAGGTATTGGGAAGATGGAGGGAATATTTTGAGGAATTGTTAAATATTGATGAAGATAGGGAAGCTATGATTTCGTGTATAGGGCAAGGAGGAATAACATCTTGTAGGAGTGAGGAAGAGTCAGTTGTGAGTGTGGGGGAAGTTCGTGAGGCAGTAGGTAAAATGAAAGGGGGTAAGGCAGCCGGGAATGATGGGATAAAGATAGAAATGTTAAAAGCAGGTGGGGATATAGTTTTGGAGTGGTTGGTGCAATTATTTAATAAATGTATGGAAGAGGGTAAGGTACCTAGGGATTGGCAGAGAGCATGCTTAGTTCCTTTGTATAAAGGCAAAGGGGATAAAAGAGAGTGCAAAAATTATAGGGGGATAAGTCTGGTAAAGTGTATGGTAGAGTTATAATTGAAAGAATTAAGAGTAAGACGGAGAATAGGATAGCAGATGAACAAGGAGGCTTTAGGAAAGGTAGGGGGTGTGTGGACCAGGTGTTTACAGTGAAACATATAAGTGAACAGTATTTAGATAAGGCTAAAGAGGTCTTTGTGGCATTTATGGATTTGGAAAAGGCGTATGACAGGGTGGATAGGGGGGCAATGTGGCAGATGTTGCAAGTGTATGGTGTAGGAGGTAGGTTACTGAAAGCAGTGAAGAGTTTTTACGAGGATAGTGAGGCTCAAGTTAGAGTATGTAGGAAAGAGGGAAATTTTTTCCCAGTAAAAGTAGGCCTTAGACAAGGATGTGTGATGTCACCGTGGTTGTTTAATATATTTATAGATGGGGTTGTAAGAGAAGTAAATGCGAGGGTCTTGGCAAGAGGCGTGGAGTTAAAAGATAAAGAATCACACACAAAGTGGGAGTTGTCACAGCTGCTCTTTGCTGATGACACTGTGCTCTTGGGAGATTCTGAAGAGAAGTTGCAGAGATTGGTGGATGAATTTGGTAGGGTGTGCAAAAGAAGAAAATTAAAGGTGAATACAGGAAAGAGTAAGGTTATGAGGATAACAAAAAGATTAGGTGATGAAAGATTGGAGGGAGAGAGTATGGAGGAGGTGAACGTATTCAGATATTTGGGAGTGGACGTGTCAGCGGATGGGTCTATGAAAGATGAGGTGAATCATAGAATTGATGAGGGAAAAAAGTGAGTGGTGCACTTAGGAGTCTGTGGAGACAAAGAACTTTGTCCTTGGGGGCAAAGAGGGAATGTATGAGAGTATAGTTTTACCAACGCTCTTATATGGGTGTGAAGCGTGGGTGATGAATGTTGCAGCGAGGAGAAGGCTGGAGGCAGTGGAGATGTCATGTCTGAGGGCAATGTGTGGTGTGAATATAATGCAGAGAATTCGTAGTTTGGAAGTTAGGAGGAGGTGCGGGATTACCAAAACTGTTGTCCAGAGGGCTGAGGAAGGGTTGTTGAGGTAGTTCGGACATGTAGAGAGAATGGAGCGAAGCAGAATGACTTCAAGAGTGTATCAGTCTGTAGTGGAAGGAAGGCGGGGTAGGGGTCGGCCTAGGAAAGGTTGGAGGGAGGGGGTAAAGGAGGTTTTGTGTGCGAGGGGCTTGGACTTCCAGCAGGCATGCATGAGCGTGTTTGATAGGAGTGAATGGAGACAAATGGTTTTTTAATACTTGACGTGCTGTTGGAG